AGCAGGCACCTTAACCTCTGTGAGACTGTCAGCTGGGGATAGTGATGGTGCCTCCCTCATCCTGCTCTGGAGGTGATCCCAGGAGATCATGTAGGTAAAGTGCCTGAGGAAGCCCTCACCAGATGGGAGCTGCTCATAGCGTCTCAGAATGAAGGGGGATGTTTTGACCAAGAATGAATAAATTCAGGGTGATGTCAAAATGACTACAACTAGGGGGAAGTGACCACTTCATTTATGAAGTTTAAATTACAGAATTCAAGCATGGGCACAGGGCTAAGGAAAGCTCAGTCCACAGAGCTTGGAGAAAAGAAAAATGTGCACCAGAGAGCTCCAGCGTAAGTGCTAATTATGTGTATGAAAGATTGAGGGTGGGAGACATCCCAAAATACATTCCTAGCAAGACATTCATCACACTAAGAAGGAAAGGGAACGTCCTAGGGGACGTATTTGCTCAGTGTGATGAACTGGACTAATAATTAGAGACCGAATGGGATGTGCCAGTGTCTTTTGAGTTGTATTTCCTTTTGATGTAAGGGTTCCTATTTATTGGGAAATGTTTACTTGATTGTGGTCCCATTTGCTGGCATGCAGCTCCCCAAATCCTTGAACTCTAAAAAAAAAAAAAGAAGAAGAAGAAGAAAAGGGAAAGTAGTTTGCTTTTTTGTTTGAGATCACTGTGACAGCAGCAGGGAGCTCTGGTTGAGGCCGTGCTAGGAGGGGACGGTAGCACACATGCAAAGGCAGGGCAGGGCATGCAACCAGGTGTGAGCAGACAAGAGCATCTGGAGGCCTGAAAACTGGAAGCCAAGCAGGATGTTAGACAATTTTTGGAGCAAAAAGGAAAGCATAGCTCCATAGGACGTTGCAATTCCGGAAGTATTTCCATCTTTTCCAGAGAGAATGGCCCTAAATCAAAAATGGAGCAGCAGATGCTGAATGGGACCACTAGGGCCCAAGGTCAATCAGTGGTGAGCTGGCCTTGGAAAACACAGATTTGAATCCAGGTTTCCAGGCAAACCTATAAATGTCATTCAGGGCCCATTTCAGCACAGTAGATTCTATCCACTGAAGAGGCAAACAGACATATATCATCTCCCAGTTTTCCAAAAATGATAAAACTGTATTCTAGAAACTACAGAGTGGCCCCAAACTATTCTAATCCTTGGCAAGATTTTGGAATAGATTATTAACTAAGTATTTGACCTTTACACACAGTGATTAGTGACTTAATATGGGACTTTTATTCCTTTTTTGATGAGTTTTGTATTCCTTTAAGTTGTAGGGTGGTCATTTGGAAAATTCTGTTTGATTTCTTGGTGTTTTAGTGGCAAGAACATAGACCTGGAGTCTGGAGACCTGGGGAGTAATCTAAACCCACCATTAATAAGTTGGGTGACTACAGGGATGTTTGTTAATGTCACTGGGTCTCATGTAAGATGGGGCATATTCTCTCAAATCCCTTTCATTTCCAAGTTCAGTGATTGTACCTTGTAATGAAAAGTGGACTGGGATGTCGAAACCATCCTACAGATGCAGTCCCAATAAAACAGCTACACCTCAAGTGCTGTTCACGCACCATGCCTGGTATGTAAGCTGACCAAGGCAAGGATTTGGTCACTGTTTATGCCCTGTATGCACGTGTATTAATGACTTACCCCAGACTCTGAGAGCTGTGGTCAAGGGTCCCAAAATGAAGATTTGAATTAAGCTGATGGACCAGCAGGAGCTTGGGCTGAAAGTCAAATGAAATTAATTTGCATAAATGTAAAGTCTTAAGTTATTTTTTTAAAAGTCACACAAGTTCCGGATAGGGGAGAGATGGCTGAGGAAGTGAGTCACGGGACGAAGGGCTGGGTGAATGTGATAACCTCCCATTTGAGCTGATACGATGCCATCACCTAGCTGCCAAGAAGAGGGCATGCATGTGCAATGTTGATCATATGCAACAATTAAGAGTGAAAATGGGTAACGTGTTGAGCTCTTACATGGGCTTTGCACATTGGCTCATTTCTGGGGCCTGAGAGGGCCATAGAATCCCAGCCTCAGGAAGTGCTCATGCTTTTGCCACCTGCCCCTTCAAATCCTGTTGCTAATGTTGTTTGCATTGCTGAGGGCCTTACCAGCTAGGTGGGTTAGAAGCTGGGTTGTGTGCAAGAAGGGCAGGTGAAAACCAAGTCCTACAGGAGAAGATTCAGAGCAGTGACAGCCCTCAAGCCAGAGGAGGCACAACCAGACCTGTGTGGGAGTTGGAGAAAGATGGGAGTGGTTAAGTCGTTGGCTCTGACACAGGCCTGGAAATTTGTGTCCTTCCATTTGTAAGCTGGGTGACTTCGGGCAACTTATTCATGCTTCCCTGTGTAGTTATAGTAACTGACTGAGAGGATTATTATGGAGATAATGAAAGAGACAGATATAAACCATGTGGTGGATAGCAAGGTTTACCCCATGCCCAGTGACGATGGTGGTTGTCCTCTTGGGTCTGGAGGGCCGGCCCCATGGAGAAGAAAGGAGGGGCCTTCTGTCTGGCTTCGGAAGAGAGAAAAGGACACATGGGAGGCAGGGGGCAAGAGGCCAGAGTCTGGATCAACACAAAGAGTTCTTTCAAGGGATCAGAACTTCCACGTGAGGAAATGAGGAGCTCGATCTGCTCCATTTTGAAGTTTGGGAAATAAGCCCTGGAGGTTCCAAGATAACAGGAATTCAGAACTTCAAGGGAGTCAGGAGGTGAGAGAGTACCAGGAGCAACAGAGCCCAGTCTCTGAGCCTTCTCAATGGAGGAGTCTCTGGAAGTTTGGATTCACAGGTGTCTTGGTCTGTTTCTCTGCTGCCCTAACTAGGTGATTTGTAAAGGTTTAATCAGCTCACAGTTCCAAAGTTCCAGAGTGGAGGAGTTGCAGCTGATGCAGGGGACTGTGTGAGCGCCCAGGCAGTCAGGGCATCACAGGGTGAAAGAGGAAGTCTGCTTGCTGGGGTCTCTCTCCCTCCTTTTCTAAATTCACTAATGCAGTCCTGGGTGATCTAATATTGATTACCTTCCAAAGGCTTCGCTTCTTTTGTTGAATTTGAAAGGCAGAGAAACATAGAGACAGAAGGAGAGAGATCTTCCACAAGTTGGTTCAACCTCCCAGATGCCCACAATACCCAGGGCTGGGCCAGGCCAGAGCCAGGAGCTCAGAACTCAATCCAGGTCTCCCACGAGTGGCAGAGCCCCAAGTACTGGAGCCATCCTCTGCTGCCCCCAGGCTGTGCCTTGGCAGGAAGCTGGAGCAGTCGCTGAGACTCCAGCCAGGCACCCTAATATAGGATGTTGAGTATTCCAGGCGTTGACTTAGCCTCTGCACCACACGCCAACCACAGCCCTCGCTTCTCACTATTGTTAAGATGGCAGTTCAATCTCAACATGAATTTTTAAAAGATTTATTTATTTATTTGAAAGGCAGAGTAGAGAGAGAGAGAGAGAGAGAGATCTTCAATCCACTGGTTCACTCCCCAAATGGTAACAATAGCCCTGGGCTGGGCCAGGCTGAAGCCAGGAGCCAGGAGCTTCTTCAGGTCTCCCACGTGGGTGCAGGGGCCCAAGTCCTTGGGTCATCTTCCACTGCATTTCCAGGCACATTAGTAGGGAGCTGCATCAGAAGTGTAGTAGCCAGTACTCCAACCAGCACCCATATGGAATGCCGACACTGCAGGCCAAGGTTTAACCTTAATACCACAATGCCAGCCCCTCAACATGAATTTTGGTGAGAACATTCAAACCAGAGCAGCCAGTAACCTCAAAGATAGAGGAGCTTTATTGTACACGCTTGATTTTTTGCCTTTTTCCCTATAAGCGAGATAAACAGCATGGACTTTGCAGACAAATCTTCCAAGTTTGAAACGCTGCCCTGTTGTTTTCAGCTGTGTAATCTTAGACAACTTAGCTCATCTCTCCGGGTGCATTTTCCCCTTCTGTAGAGGGAGTAAGGCGCCTGTAGTCCTGAGGAACAAAGCTAATCTGTTTCTCGCTGTGTCAGTGAGCATGGTGCCCAAGCGGGCTGGCTGTATGGCCATGTGAGACGTGCAGATTCAAGCCTCTGGCCTTTTGTACCTGGCAGGGGTGCTAGCGGTGGAGGTTGGATGAAGAAGCTCTACTTCAGCAAGCACACGTGCCAACACTGCACTTACAATACAGATACAGGAGACAGCAAGCTCTGAATGCCTTCCAAATGGGAATCTTATACCTCTCACATGAGGGACAAAATAAGATGGGGGAGAATGAAAATTTGCTGTCGTTGGTTAAGAGTCCACCATGTGTTAGGCTCTGTATTCGTTGTCCCTCTAAATCTTCACAATGGTTAAACAGAGGCATAATTGATGATAATGAAGTTGGCCTTGGGAACAGGTTGGCAATTGACCTGGGAACTGCCCATCAAGCATTTCTAGATTTATCCGTGATCCCTGGAGCCTTGTGCTGTCTTCCCCAGAGCTGACTAAGATTGTGCCTCCCCATCCCAAAGAGTTAAAGCCTGAGCTACTCTGCTGCAAGGTTCAACTTGTGACAGGGCGGTAGCTGAGGACCTGTCACATCCTTTTCTTTATTTTTTTAAAAATTTATTTATTTGAATTTAGAGAGAGATTTATCTCTCATTTACTGGTTCACTCCCCAAATGCCCACAGTGACCAGAGCTGAGCCAAGCTGAAAGTAGGAGCTGGGAACTCATTCTGGTCTCCCGCATAGCGGCAGGGACTCAAGTACTCAAGTCATCACGTGCTGCTTCCCAAGGTGTGCATTAGCAGGAAGCCGGAATTCGGAGTGGAGTCAGGACTTGAATAGAGGCCCTCAATATGAGATGCAGGCATCCCGAGTGGCATCTTAGCTGCTGGGCTACCCCCCACCCCTTGACAAATCCTTTAAGAGACTAAGAGAGCTCCTCCTCCTCCACCCACCCACCCACACACAGCCCTCTGTGGTGCAGTACACTGAGGATACTAATAGATGGCCATTTCTCTCTGTCCCGTAGTGCGATGGGGTTGGAGTGGACCTGAGTAACATCTTCCTCGAAGGCATTGCCATTCTCAACATTCCCAGCATGTACGGAGGCACCAATCTCTGGGGAGAAACCAAGAAGAACCGGGCTGTGATCCGGGAAAGCAGGAAGGGTATCACTGACCCCAAGGAACTGAAATTCTGTGTCCAAGGTAAGCATGAGGACAGCTGCTCTCGGGCAGTGCCCCAGGGAAGGGTCACTTAGGGGAACTGTTAGCAAACCATTTCGGGGCCTATAGCAGGCTCCATAAGGCCCTGCAGCCCACTCAGGACCCTTTGCTCTAGGGATATGCTGACTTAATATCGGTGATGTTGCAGACTCTACCGTCTAATTGAGAAGATAAAATTCACAATAAGGGAATCCAAAATGGCAGTCAGCAAACTGTGGATGTCCATGAGGTTAGGAGGCAAATGCTGCTCCTGTCAAGATCACTTCCTCCACCCACCCCCCCCCCCCACCATCAACACCCAATGGTCTGTTCTCAACCTCATCTCAGTTTTCCTGTCTGGGGCATTGGAGCCAGCTGATCACTCCCTGGAAACATTTTTCCCACTGTGTTTCTAGGACTCCATTTGCTCTTGGTCTTCCTACCTCACTGGGCGCTCCCTCTGTCTCTGACCTCTTGATGCTGCACAGTCCCCAGGTGCAGTCCCTTTTCTCTTCTGTCAGCACTCGCTACCTGGAGGCCCCCATCCATGCTGAGGCTTTATTCAGACACCACGTGTGTGTGCACGGTGCCGCAAAGCCTGTGGGCCGCCTCCCCTTGCACTCTGACTCCAGTGTCCAGCAGCCTGTGCCACGTTTGCCCTATGTGTTCCACAGAGACCATAAACTCAACATGTCCAAAACAACTCCTGCCATCCCTCCTCCAAAACTTCACCATCTCAACTGCTGGAGACTCCAGTCTAAACACCTGGCACCATCCTTGACTCTTTTTATTGCCTATCTCACATCTAATCCATCAGATAATCTTTTAGCACTACTTTTAAAAAAATATTTATCTTATGAAAAGAAAGCAAGAGAGAGAGAAATAGCACCCATTTACTGGTTTATTCCCCAAGTGCTCAAGGCAGAGCCTGGGCTGGGCTGAAGCCAGAAGCCTGCAACTAAAATCAGGTCTTACACGAGGGTGGCAAGGATCCAACCACTTGAGCCATCACAGCTCCCTCCCAGGGTCCATATTAGCAGGAAGTTGGAATCAGGGATCAGAGCTGACATCAAACCCAGGCACTCTGCTGTGGGACACAGGTATCTCACTAGGCCCCACACCTGCCCCAGCTCTGCTTTTAAAATCACCCAGGATCCAGCCACTTCTCACCACTTGCACTCCCACAAGCTTGAGCCAAGCCAGCTCCCTCTGTCCCCTGGAGTACTGCAGATCCTCCTCATTAAATTCCTGCTTCTGTGCCTGCCGTGTACAGTCTGTGCTCACCACTGCGTCAGAGCGTCCTGTGAAAATATGTCCAGTTGTGCCACTCTGCTCAAAATCCCGCAGTGGCTGAGAGTAAAATCCAGAGGCCTTAATGCGGCCTAGAGGGCCCACATGGCCTGGCCTCAGTTCCAACTCAGACTCCATCTCTCCTCCTCTCCCCTTCCCTCAGTCTGCCCCCACCACTCTGGCTCCTCTAGCACAGCCGGCTGCTTCCACCGAGAACCAACTGTTCTGTCTGTCTGGAACAACGGGCAGTGTGCCGTAAGGGCCATCAGCTGAGCCTTCTGCTTTTAACACACCAGAATACAGGACGCAGCCTTCTGAGAGTGCCCTTCAAACTACCTTCAGCCCAAACCCTTACCAGCCATTCCCACCAGTGAGCCAAATGGGGACTGAATGGTCCTCATGGGTTCTCAGTGGGCTGGTGAGCTGGGGGGAGAGGAGCCATGTGTAAGGTCATTGGCAAAGAAAGACCTTACACCAGCAGGCAGGTAACCAGGCTCTGTTCCAAGTGCAGCCACCAACCTCGTTGTTGGCACCTCAGTTTTCTTTGCTGTGTAAGCAGGGTCTCAATGTAAAAGCTTTGATAGCTGGATGAATAGGGTTGAGTCACATAATCTGTTCTTAAACAGGGCTTGCTTGTTGAAAATGAAGATTCCTGGACCCCAGTCCTGATCCACCCAATCAATCTCTGAGTTGGTTCCTGGAAGTCTAAATTTGTAATGAATTTGATACACTGCCAGGTTTGGGAAGCTCTGGTAGAGACGAATGCCCGCAGTCTCTTCCAGGCCTAGCATTTCTAGATCGGGGTCTGTGCTTTCTGACGTTCCAGACTGTAAGTGCTAAGGTCAGATGTGATCCTAGCAGCAGGAAACACGACTTGGCTGCCCTCAAAGGGAGGGGGTGCTTGCTTGTTTCACAACCATCTATTAGACAATCAGGTCGTTCTATTCCAAGGCAAGGTTATTAAGAAGAATACCTCTGGGTAGGCATTGTGCCTAGCAGTTGAGATGCTGGTTAAGATGCTTTCATCCCCTATTGAAGTGCACTCCCAATTCCATCTTCAGCCAATACAGATCCTGAAAGGCAGCAGGGAGGCCTCTAGTAGTGGGGACTCTGGGAGTAGCTGAAGACCTGGATTGAGTTCCTGGCTCCTGACTTTCACCTGGCCCTGCATTGGCCATTGCAGACATTTGGAGAATGAATTAGTGGACAGGTATTCTCTGCCTGTCTTTCACCCTCTATCGCCATCTCTCTGCCTCTCAAGTATATAAATAAATAAATAAATAATTTTTTAAAAGCATCTCCATACTTCCATGCTCTAAGAGGAGATTCAGGAATTTTTATTTCTGTGTTGTCTTCCTGAGTTCCCTTTATTTCACACAGTAAACTTTTCAATTTGTATAAATTATTAAACTGAATAAAGTGTTCCTCCTTCCTTCCTTGGCAAGGGAGCTGTGGCCTCCAGCAGAGGGTGGGGGAAGCACTGGAGGTTGTATAAAGTTCTTACAAAGTTTCCCACCCTGAAGCTCCTGCCTGAACCTCCACTCTGGTGTCCTGCCCTGTCAGAAGAGAGACGGAATGACCAGAGCAGAGTCCTCGCCTGCCCCTGGCCTAGGGCTTGGGGAGCTCTGGCTGAGGTCATGTCTGGTTAGGACGCAAGGACAACCTTCATCTTTCCCCTAACTGTCTGCCCTTGTATCTTCCCCTTCTTCAACCAAGAGCGAAGCGTCGGCTGACCACTCTTGACCATCATGTACCGGAACTCTCCTCCCCAAATCCCCCTCTCCCACCCCCAAAATGTGCTTTCAGAGCTAAAAACAAAGCCACTTCCTGTTCTTAAGATGAGAACATGAGCTGATCAGAGTGGAGGTCAAGGAGCACCCTGGCTCCTGGGCCTCGCAGAGACACCAACACTGAGCCATCTGCTAATGTAAGTTGAGTTGTTCATGGGAAAAACTGGAGAGTCAACTGATGAGCGCAGAGCTTTGGCTTGGGGGTCAGGAGACCCGAGTTCCAGTCCAGACTCTGCCTCATGCCGGTGAGTGACACCGGGCACCTCTTTTCACTTTGTAGATTTCTGTTTCTTTCACCTGTAAAATTAGCAGTTCCGACAGTTGCGTTTGAGATTCCCTAAGGCTCCACAAAATTCAGGCAAAATCAAATTTTAACCTGTGTGGATTCATTAGGCAGAATTATTTGCAAATTTCTTCCTCTCTCCATGGGCTTTGTGTTGGGATGGGCAGGCTGGTGGCGCCCTCTCTGCAGGCTCTTCCCTCCCTAGTAGCTTCTTGGGGATTGGAGGAGGGGGCAGTCAGGAAAGACAATCGGAGGGAAGTGAAAGAGGAAGTGACAGAACAAGGGTTACTATCAACTCTCTCTCATCATACACCCATCTTTCTCCTGGGAGAAACAATCCAAGAAGATTGTTCAATATTAGTGTGGAAAGAATTCTACAGAAACAATGACTGAAAAGAAAGCAGTCAGGGATACCAGGAAAAGCACCAGGTTATTCTTGGATGCCGTGGGTTTAAATTCTGGCTTTTATCTTCTAGCTTTATAAACCTTGGGAAGTGACCTAGCCTGCCCTTCTATATTATGGGTATAATGATAGTGAGTTTATTTTGAAGATGATGGATGTGAAAGTGCCTGGAACATAGTCTAACCTCAAACTATTTTACATTTCCCCATCCTGTTATTCCTTCCTTATGCTGGAGCATGACAATTGGTTTCTGATTCTTAAGTTCTTTACTTTATCATTACCACTATCACTAAGAAAGCACAAAACTCCTGCCACCTCCAGCCCAGACTTCATCCTGGCACATTACATTTATGCTGCCAATTGTCCCTGCTGTCTCCTTTCCTAGTTCAGATCCCAAGGACAGAGCTGAGTATGTATTCCTTTTTTTTTGTTTTTTTTTTTTTTTTTTTTTTTTTTTTTTTTGTATCCTCAGTGCCTGACCCTGCTCAGTTACTGAAAAAAGAAAAAAAAAGCTATTGGTTAAATGAGAAGCACATTGTATTAGTTATTTTTAGTTTTGCAGCAATAAGAATAGTGAGAAATAGTCTTTTGTATTTACATTTCATTTTGGCTTGCAAATGATTTTTCATGTTTTAGCTGAATGTAATCCTAATCAGAAACTCATAAGCAAAACTGCATCTAGCCCCCTCCATGCCATTGTTCCATAGTTTGTAAATATAAGTCCAGAGAAGGGGTGAGACTTAGACCATTTATGTTCAATAATGACATCATAACCCAGAGTCATGAATCCTAGCCTCACCCCAAGTGGCTAGTGTCCAACCAGAAAGTCTGTTAGAGAGCCTACTGTGTGTATTGCACAAGCTAGGGCTTCGGAACACAGGAAGCATTCAGATCCAGTCCAGGAAGGTCTCCGCATCTGCCTGTGGAAATTCTGCTCCTCCCGCCGGGCCTTCAGGGCTCCCCGGAAGTGAATCCAGGCTCCGAATTCACAGACCACGGGGTTTCTGTCTCACCAACACATTCACTGTGGGTTGCCTTGTGTCACAGGCATGCATGTTCTCCTGTCTTTCCCCTGCCAGTACCTATAAAACGGGGAGCAGCTCTTCATCTTTGTGTCCCCTCCAAAGCCTCCCACCGTGGCTAGCTCACATATTCTGCAGGTTTGTCTGCTGGAAGGAGGGAGAGAGGGGAAGGAGCCCTGCCTGCAGTCTGCCAGCGCCATGGCCAGCAGATTCTA